GGGCTTAGAAAGATGAACATGCTTGCTTTTTTTTATATGCATGGGTTAAAGAGAAAATTTAAAACTTTAGAAAAAGTTACTGCAATTTTCTCAAATTTTACGAATTTATTATTGTTTTGTAAGGGTGTTTTTTGAAATGGATAAAAAGTTATCTTTGCTATTGCTTTTGTTATAAAAATTGACTTTAACAGTATGAATTTTTGTTTATTTAACAAGTGATTTGCACTTTACTTAGATTGGTCATCGACGGGTCTCTCTCATATACGATCATTAAAAGAAACATTAACTCTATGTATAAGAGAAGTTTATATTACATATTTACTCCCCTATATGTTTTAATTAACATGGATTTGCATGAAATTATGAGTAAAGCTAAGTCAAAAAGAGATGCACACATCTATCCTGACCCTTGTAATTTTATAGATTTATCATATATTATGGCTAAAACAAAAAAATGCACACATACTTATGTTAGTTTGAATACTACAGTAACTAGGTTTCGACGAGAAAAAAACGATTCATGAATTTAGAAACCGTTTTCTAGAGAGTATTAATCGTCATATTTAGACATTTACGTAATACCAAATGATCTAGATAAGCAGTCGCGCTATTGCCCGCCAACATGTAAGCAATGGTTTTTAGTTTGACAGTAATTTGTAATTTAATGATTGCTTAGAGATCTTTAAGTAATTGTGTATTCAGTGAGGTTATAGGAACATGCTATAATAGTTATAGTAAAATTGTATTCGACTTCATATACTGTAATTATATCAATGTTTCAGGAACTATTGAATACAATATTTGATATTCAAAGCATAGTTTACCAAGCAATTGTTATTAGGAACAAATACATATAAATCCTAGATTTGATATTGTTTCTCGTCTACAACTACACTAGTACAGTAACAACACTAGTTAAACACTAGCTGATCTTTAAGAATATTAATGTTTTTATAATTTATCCCATTTACTAGAAATCAAAGGCTAGACGTGACATTAATGTGATGCCATAAATCTTGAAAGTACTATACATCTAAATCGAATCTAATTTTTGGAATTTAAAGTGGGAAGACGTTCTCACCATGATGCATGATAAATTGATAATACCTAAGACGTACTTTCACTTCACTAAAACCAAAGAAGAATAAAATGATGAATTAACTTAAAAGTGGGGAAAAAACGAAAGATTCTTTAGTAAAAGCTAATTAGTGCAACACTTTAACGAAAAAAATAAAAGCCAAGCAATGGATTATAGTAGCAGACATTAAAGACAGGTTTGTCTTCTTTTTTGACCCGTTGATGATAATCTTAAGTACACCTCCACGAGGTCAATGTATGGGGGAATCCTATGCCAAATGCTACGTGGGTGTGGAGTATCTTACTTATTTTAATAATTGTAGTAACAATAATAGACATGAGAGTACGTACCTACTCATTAAATTTGGTTTTATGTATATATATTTGGATGTTTTTCCATTTGTCACTAAGAACACGTATATTTTAATTGTACAAAACACTCAACAGTGTTATGAAATGAAACGTAAGAGAACCCTTACTTTGTATCCGATATGAATGCGTCATCTACAAATACAACAAATTCTAAAGTATACCAAAGAAATATTTTTACAAGGAATACCGAATTCTTTTTAAACTCTTCCTACAACTTATTTCTATTTTTGTTTTCAACATTTAAGAATCCTTCCTGCAAATTAATTTTTGCGGTATTTAAAAAAACAATCATGATTATCTTGGAAACCAAAACTAAAAATGGTTTTATGTACAATGCCAAAAACACTAGAAATGATTATAGTGATAAGATAATTCATATCTAAAATAAAAAACGTTCCCATTAATTTACTTACGCCATCCAAAACTGTCGTGGTTAACTCATTAGTCATCATCTGCTTGAAGTTGCATCATAATTTTAATGTCGTATGCTTTTGAAATTTCATTATTATTCACGCCTTTTTTAGGCATTGGAGTGAACAAAAGGTTTTGATGTGGTCCATGCATGCATCCATCCGTTTCAAAAACTTGCTAAAGTTTCTGTTTGGTTTAACGTATAACTACATTGCTATACTAAATTTTATAAGATAATTAATAAGTTTTGCATGCAATTTGGATTTGTTGCCACAAAAACTGAAAATTTCGGTGGCTATAGGATTAACAACTTAAGTACTTCAAAGTCAGATGAGAATCAAGATTGCAGAGAAGAAGACAACAACAACAAAAAATACATTAAAAGATTCAAAACAAACGTACATATACTAGCTAGCTAGGAGACCGACATGATCAGACAAACGGCTTCTGAAAATTATCGATTTGCTTACATGCTAACATAACAGACAAAGGCCCTACAAGATATAAAACGAGTCAAATCTAAGAAGAAAAAAAAAACAAATTACGACAACAAGGGTCGGTATCTTGCTTCGGGTCTTCACTGGTTCTCTCTCCTCTAATGCTTCCTGAATTCAAAAGGAAAAAAAAAAGATATATTAACATGTAAACTTTTAGGATACTATATAGTTGTGAATGCTAATATAGTTGTAAACGTCAACTATTCGTATCATCCAAAGATAGATTTTGTGAATGGAAATTCAGAATTATTATCAAAAGTATTGTATGTACTTGAAGATGATGAAGAAAGGTAGGACTAATAGGGTGGATTGGTGGTAGGTTCCTTTGGTGCGTTACACCTGAAACACTCTGACCTGCTTGCGAAGTTATGTTCATTGCAGCCTGACCTATATACACATACAAACCCAATCAGTTTCGACG